ATCTAATTATAGTGAATAAAAACTAATTTCTTTAGCGTTACGTAAATTTTACTCTATTGTGTGGTTTTTTTATGGAATTAAAATAGTATTTTTGTTGGATTATCTTTTAGCCTCTCAAAAATTAAACTTCTGTCCCCTGTTAACTGAATTGCACGAATATTGATAAGCATCTCACAACCGGTGAACCTGATAACAGAAAAATAGAAAGTATAAACCATGTGTTCCACATAATAAGAAGATACGAGGTTAGAGAATTGTCTAAACTTTATTTTGACACGTAAAAGTCTAGTAGTAGTAGGGCTGAGAGTTTTTTGGCGAAGAAATAGAGATTAATTGCTGCACTTTTAGTAATTATATGATGTATGACGAGGCCGCCATCTAAATTTTAAGTTTAGCGAACCACTATGAATTTAATATAATATCTTGAAATTGCTTTCTGGTTCACAATTCACATCATGGGGAAGTATGCCCAATTCCATGATTTTTATTTTTTGACGTTATCTTAATTTTTTTACTGGTTTTCATTTTGAAAATTAATAATAGTTCATTTCTGTAGTATTTGTAATTTGTGTGCGATTTAAAATTAAACAGTTTCAATAAGTTATCCTTATCTGCACTTGATGTACAACTAATCTGGTACTTAATATGTATTATATTGCCAGTGTTCAATTTGTCTTCAAAGATGAGTGATTGTTTCATTGTGGTATTAAGTTTTAACCTCATAAACGGGGAAATTATAACCTGTGTGAAACTATTAGTATTATGCTCGTTCATTTCGTTATGTCATACTCATAGGTCAAGTTCAACTCATATCCTCTACTTTGCAGTAGGATTGCAGTATAGTATATAGGATTGCAAGTGGTAAAAAGAATTGCTAGATTTTAGAACTATACTAATTTCTCAAGTCTTGTAAGTTATACAGGTACAAATCTTCTTCCCAAAGAAATAAATTCCATTTCTACTTTGGACCTGTAAAAATCGTCCCTGGCTAAATTCCTTAAAGAATTCCCCGACACGCCCCCTACTAAAGGATACACCGCTACTAATAAAGTAATAACTATTCACTCTTGGAATGGTATTTACTAAAAGACCCCAGTGGAGTGATTATAGGAGGACGTACCTGATACTGTTGTTCTGGAGCGATCCCAGCCAAACCTACTCAAAGTACTCAAAGTAATGTATATGGTATAATTGGCGAGTTGGACCGCGTGCCATGTACAATGTACATTGTACTTAATATGTATATTGTACTCATCTGTTGAACAGATAACAAGGCGAGGACATGGACAGATGTTGTTGTTCTGTGAACTGTGTGGTGCGCTTATAGCTATAGCTGTCGTGCGCTTATAGTTATAGCTGCGAGTTTGTATTCTCCTTTTAACCGTTCTGATATCATTCTTATATTAAGCATTTTTAGGTCTGCATAAGACCCTATATAACACGATCAACAATCCTGTGATATTTTTACTCATGTAGGTAATGCAATCTAATGAATTAACATAACATAGGCGCAGCGACATTCAGCCTGACTTTGAATCACTTCATCGTCCATGGCTCATGCTATCGTTATAATTATAACTAATTTGTAAACCTCGCTTCTAACGAGATTAATAATTAATTTCTAATCGATACAATACGTTTAATTTTACTAAACTAGACTGGACCTTGCTTTTAGTTTTAATTAGTCACGCCTAAAACTCTTACCCGGCAACCACTCATTATATAATGTTTTCTGCGCAAATAAGGGTAATCGTTCAGCCCCTTTATGGCAAAGTGACTTTGTTGAACGAAGAAGCATAATACTCATATCTACCGTTCATTCTCTGTTCATTGTTTGAAAGTTTATTTTGTTGTCAATTTTCATAATTTAATAAAATTCCCGTTAAATTTTATGTTTTTTATATTCTTTCGAAATTGTTTCCAATTCACTCCAACGATAATTCTTTTAATTGTATAAGGGAACAGGATTAAAATATTTTGTGACATTAGCCTCGGCAGTCGGCTCACATTTAAATTAACTAATTAGGTCAAGAGGTCGAATTTAGACTGGATTTTGTTGGGGATAGGCGAATTGTTAAATTTGAGAGACAATTATTTTATACTCACCAACGTTATGCATGTTCGAAATAATTGTCACATTCCAATCACCCCTTAACATTTGTCAGATAATGATCGCAAACTCTGGACTGCGCAAGAGAATCGAGGAGAAAGTTGGAAAGATAATTTTGGAAACAAATTGTCAGAAAGGTAATGAATTTTTGAATTCTGGACCGATTATGATTCCTCCAATACAAAATTCTAAGTTTATAGACAAGCTCCCTCAAAATATTGTATTAGAGGGACAAACTGCAGCCGAGAGAGAGAGCTGCAGAAAGGATACGAAGCAGAAGTTAAAGTTTTCAGATTCTTGGAAGAAATAAATGAAAACTATTTTGTCCTGCATCAGCTGGAGTACACTCACGAACAATACTCTGCATTCTTACCAAAACATCTCTGTAATAAAAAACGCTGCAATAAGGGGGCAGAGAAGCACGATTGTCATCAGCCTTCGAAAAATGTGGAAGGTGAAAATGATTTTATTGTTGTGGGTAGAAATTTTGCGGCAGTGCTTGAAGTTAAAGGTTTATCTTTTCCGTCTATACCTTGTTCTCCAAAAGAATGGAAGGCTAGAATAAAAGGATGTTGCGAGGATGCTCTAAAACAAAGAAAGAAAATGGTGGATCTGATACAGTCATTGGACCCTTCACTGCCAGTGTTTGAGTTCACTGTTTTCAGTAACATCTCTTCGGAGGACATTCACGAGAAGTATTTTTCAGATGATCTAAGTCATTATTGTATGACTAAGTGATCTAAGTCATACAATAATGACTTAGATCACTTAGCATCAATTATGGATTGTTGTGAAAAATTTTCAGTAAAAACATCAGAGTTTGCAAATGATCCCGACAGAAACACAATAAAATGTTGTCTTCTCGGATTGCGGTGTATGGATCAAGACAACAATTGGGACTTTACAAAATTCAGTTTACCTAAATGTTTACTAGACATTGATGAAAAGCTTAAAAAAGCGCTTGTGACAAGGAAATCAGTGGACAATGATTTGAATGAACAAAAACAAAAATCGGATGACATAAGAAAAAGAAGAAAATGTACCCTAAAAAGAAAATGTATCCTCAAAATACCACCATGACACAGCCACCTGGTCTGTTTAAAGAGTTTCTCAATATAAATTATAAGATGCATAACAAAAGATCAGCTGGATGTTTTCAACAGTGAAGAGAGATTTCTGTTGGTAGAGGGCCCGGCAGGATCAGGCAAGACTATTGCAATGTTAGGTAAAATAATCAATCTTGCCCTCACTACACCACCAGAGAAAAGGATTTTGATGATCTTACCTGGCAATAGTTCCTGTCCAGCAGCAAAACGATACCTGGAACTACTGAACAGTGTTAGACAGGATATTCGGTGTACAATTTTTACGTATGAGCTTGTCAGGGAAACCAGTTACAATCAATCTGCTGATGTGTTGAACAAAGTGTTGATGGAAGCTCGAGAATCACTTATTTGGTAACTGTCTGCGTGTTCCAGTAAAATCATAATACTGGAAATAAAAACACCTTTTGCTAAACATCTATGCAGATTGATAACGAAGTTTGATTATTTTTTTGTGGACGATTATCAGCACTTCGTTTACAGAAATCATAATCATACCCATTTTTTTCAATTTGGAAAAATTGCTGCTAAGAAAAGTATTATTATCGAGGGTCTACTTCCAATTGTTAGAGAAAGTGCGAATAACACCAATAGTATTTGGATATTGCATGATAAAGCACAGTCCAGTGCTGAATATATTGCACCTGGCGGACTTCTGAAGGACATGATAGATTTAGAAAAGATTACGGATTACCCCAGCAATTTTTATGTTTATGTTTGATAGCCAAAAATTTCTAAGTTACTTCAAGAACCCAAAAAAATTGTCCGTCAACCTTAGAAATACATTTGATATTTCTAACGTATTATCAATAATAAGAAAACATTATGAAAGAGAAAGTTTTGCAACGACTACATCAGTGGCATGGCCTCAACAAGAGAGTGGACATTTCCTCCGTGATACAAAACCGGTTATCTAAATACTGAGAGAAGGAGCAGGTGCTACATGGAGAGATATACTGACCAAGGAGCTGGAAACATTAAAAGGACCTGAGCGTTGTTTAAAAAACAGCAATATTGCGGTGTTGGTGGAACATTTAGATGACGCAATCACCAAATCCGTTAAAAGCGTATTAGAAAGATGGGAAACAGAAGACGATCAAATTAAGTTCCTTCCATTGGAAGATTGTATGTCAGCAAAATGGACAGCTGCCATCTTTGTTCACAGGCCAGATGGTGTTACGGCAACAGTGCCTCAACGCGACTATAGTCTGAAGAAGTTTAGGATCACTGGGGACACTATTGCTTTTCTTTATTCTGCAATCTCCATAGCCAGAGTGTACTCAGCATTTATCATATATGATTTTGAGCCTACAGTTTATGAGTTTGATGACAGACTTTTTGATGAACTTAAACAACGTTCTGACGTGTGTAAGGTAATTGAAATTGTTATATGAAAACTTGAGTTTTGGGTACCCGGTACAGTAAACCAAGTTTCAAGTTAACTGGAAAGTTTGTTAAGCTTTCAAAATGTAAATCATTATAAACTGATGGTCTAGTCTGTCACGAACACTCTGTATACTCACTTACTTCAACGCTTCCCCTTCCGACATTCCCTGCGAGGGTGAAGATACTGGACCTCACAGCAACACTCTAATACTAATGTTTCTTCTAAATCATCAGCTCCAAAAGTTCAGCCACCTTCATATCATGAGGATCCTAGTATATCAGAATCTGTCAATAGACATTTGGCACCCAGTTCAGAAATAAGCACTTCTTTGATCGCTTAAACATTCTTACATACAAGTTCGATTATTTTATTTCAAAAAGTGAATACACATCTGTTATTTGTAGATCTCATTTTATTTAGTGTTCTTTATTAATTCGTGTCTTAAATTATTCCAAAAGTTTGCCATGTTATTATATTAGATCCAGGGCGACTGTACATGATACGGAGTAAGTCGTAAAAAATCGAGGTAAATAAATCTAAAAATGGAGAGTTAGGATAAGAAGGACAAGGGACGTAGTATTGCACATAAATCCCGGTTCAACGTCAATCTAAGGTCTAAAATGAACTTTGGAGTTGTTGCATTAAATATAAATGGAAAAAAAAGGAAGAACAGAATATTTTCTGAAAATCAAAACAAATTATATACACATCACAAGCTATTACAATAAACGTACGGTCAAATTATCAGGCGACTCTTTCTTGAAAACAGAGGAGCAAGTCATGTGATAAACGTTTTGAAAACATCGTCCAGTTCTAAAACGAAAAGGACCAAACTTCGATACAAATTTTTCGTTTTTACAGATTGCGAACGGTACTATAAACCTAAATTTTGAAAGATACAAACCACATTTTGTAAAGATTGAGTTTTGAAAACTTTTTATAAGAACAGATCAGTTAGGAAAAACTAAGGGTCGACCCACCCACTTGACACTTACATTCAATTCGACATAATAGTGAACTACCAATGCGGGGTTGCGCAGATAAATATTATTATTAATCTAAGGTATAAGTGAGACTTAAGAATTGTTTATAAGTATAAGAATATTTAGTGCTCAACTTCCATCCTTAAACTTAAATCTTTAAATAAATCCGTCAAATTAATACATACGTTAAGCATAATCTGGATAGCATAGATAGTATACTTTTTTATATACTTTAGCAAATCTCTTCAAATACACGTTTAAAAATCTAATACACAATATACTAGAAAATTCAAAATAGAAATAAAACGTTTCATAGCTCAGTCAAAATAATTTAAACCAACAATAGAACAGTTTAATTTATCTTGGCATACTATTTTATTGTTTATTTTTGAACCTTGTGTTGCGTGTCAATGCTCCTCTCCTATAATAAGCTGATGAAAGTGTATAATTAATTGTGTTGATTGACTGCATTATAAAACAGTAAAATAACAGCAGTATTCAACTGCAACCTGGTGAAACGTATCATCAGAAAAATAAATACATCCATAAATAAGAAAATATCAATCTACAGAGGATCGTAAGACTCGCCATAAATCGTTCACATGATAAAATAAATAAGAGAAGTTTAGCAGTCAGCGCATCAGGGCCCAAACGGGGCCCTACAATCAGATCCTACAACATTGTCTTTTAAATATAACTGTCCTACGACTAAATTGAACCGTCTTCGCGCTTTTCACTTGCACCTAGTTCAAAACTAGCGACGATCACGTTTTTCTCAAGCGTATTCCACATTCGCTCAACGAATGTTGATGGTTTATTTTTGACTTTCAGATCATGACAAGAGGTATAAATAAGGAGGGTGGAATTTCCCTCAAGTCATGAGAATGCCTAGTAGAACTAGAAGTATCGGCGTGATATGGTGATGGTAAGTTCCTGCCGTCCTCTTCGGACCTGGCGCTGAGCTCCTCACCATCAGGATATCTAGGGAGTAGGTTTGGGTTAACTAACTGACATTGGTAACTTAAATTCAATAATTGTTAGAACTAGTAAGCTACAACCAAACTAAATAATGCTGACAAATCCCTGGCAAAGTGCCGATCAAAACGGAGAAGACCCAATACACGAATATCACGTACCGTTGTGAGTGACAGTGAAGTGCTCGACGGTTTGTCCGAGGGGATTACTAGCCACACACTGGAAGTCTCCGCTGTTATCAGAGTTGGGACTGTTCCTCAGGTAGAGGATACTTCCTGTCCCTGTTTGGGATATCTTTATCCCTTCTTCAGCTCCGTACAACTCTCTGAACACATGGGGTGTGATGAAAAGATACTCTATGTATGGGAATCACAGAACGTCGTCAATCAAACTTTGTAAAATCGATGATGTTTGTTACATTACACAAGAGTCTCCTAAGATTAACACTCATCTTCATTATACAGTTGAGATGTTTCAAATGGGGATAAAAACCATTCTGCAGTGAGGCTAACCTGTTTTCTTTAAACCAGAGGATAGGTCTGCTGAGAGGTGGGTTTGAAACTACATCACACGCTAGAGTGACGTCATTTAGTGTGTCTGATGCGTCATTACTGCCGGCTGGAGACCACTTGTAACTGTTCACTATCTTCGGAGCATCTGTAGATTTAGTGTTAGTGAAACTCAGAAGAATAGATAACTTTGGAGTAACTCTGAAGAAAGCTGCTATTTCAGTAATTTTGGTGCTGATCCTGGGATAAACCAGATCGGTTCTCACAGAAAATATGGAAAAGGCTGAAAAATAACCAAGTAGAAACTCACAGAGAACAGAGAGCTGGATGGTGGAGTTAGAAGGCTTATCTCTGTTGTTATCAGCAGTGCAAGTGTAGATCCCCTCGTCAGTGTACATTACACTCCTGAACACGAGTTTGTGATGTGTACCCACTATTTCTGTGTATCTGTTAGCTTGTGGCTCCAGAGGATCTCCGTCCTGAAGGATGAGGTTCTTAAGTGATTGATGAAGAAATCAGTAAACAAACGTACCTTACACCACAATTATTTGTTACAATTACTGACAAAAATATCCAGATTTAGTAAAAAGATAGTATAGGATTGAAACCTTGAACCAGCTGACGGTTGGAGTGGGATCTCCAGTGACTAAACACTCGATTGAAATGTTTTTGTGTTCTATTACTTTAATCTCCGGCTCTGGAGCAGCTATTACTGGCACAACTGCGGATAATATTTGTTAGTGAACAAGAAGTAGAAGCATCCTGTTTGGATTGCGGAAATTGTTATTTTGCTTATCATGGAAATACTGATAGCGACTCCGCCCCATAATTTTGAACGCTTATAAGATATCCATTGCCGTTCTGCCAGACGACGCACGATTCATTGCCATGAAATAATATTTTACCCCTCAACATTAAGCGCCCTGTTTGTATCGGCAAATTGATGTGAGACTGGAGACAGGGTGATGACTGAAGTTGACAGTCCTGACTCTGACAAAGACATAAAAGGTAACTCGGTAAGGTTATTTCTAATACTGATATTATGCACACTGAACGTATATTATTACCACCAGGCCGGATCACACAAACTACAAACTGAATAATGTACCAGTATGCAGTTTGTATGATTCACAGCCGGCTTGGTCGGTTTCTTTTTAGTTTTTATATTGAAACAATTTTTAGCGAGCACGCACGATTCACGCCTAAAACTCTTACCCGGCAGGCGGCAACCACTCATTATATAATAATGTTTTCGCCGTATATAATGGTAATCGTCCAGCCCCTATACGGCAAAGTGACTCCGTTGAACGAACAAGCATACATGTTGTGCCCATATCTACCGTTCATTCTCTGTTCATTGTTTGAAAGTTTGTTTTTGTAAATTTTCATACCTTAAAAAATTCCCGTTAAGTTTGATGTATTTTCTATTTTTTCGAAATTGTTTCCGATTCACTCCTTCAATAATTCTTTAGATTGTATGAGGGAACAGGATTTTAATATTTGCTGACATTACCCTCGGCAGTCGGCTCACATTGAAATTAGCTAATTAGGTCAAGATCGGGTCAAATTTTAACTGGATTTTCTTGGGTATAGGCGAATTATTAAATTTGGGAGACATAATGTAATTAATTTATACTCACCAACGTTATGCGGGTTCGAAATAAGTGGCACATTTCAATCACATCCCTAACGTCTATCAGATAATGAACGCAAACTCTGGACTGCGCAAGAGAATCGAGAAGAAAGTTGGAAAGGGAATTCTGGAAGCATGTAAAAGAAATAAATCTTGGAATTCTGGCCGACCGATTATGATTCCTCCAATACCGGATTCGAAATTTATAGACAAGCTTCCTCAAAATATTGTATTAGAGGGACAAACAGCAGCCGAGAGAGAGCTTCAGAAGGGATACGAAGCAGAAGTTAAAGTTTTCAGATTCTTGGAAGAAATAAATGGAAACTATTTTGTGCTGCATCAGCTGGAGTACACTCACGAACAATACTCTGCATTCTTACCAAAACATCTTTGTAACAAAAAACACTGCAATAAGGAGGCAGAAAAGCACGATTGTCATCAGCCTTCGAAAAATGTGGAAGGTGAAAATGATTTTATTGTAGTGGGTAGAAATTTTGCGGCAGTGCTTGAAGTTAAAGGATTGTCTTTTCCGTCTATACCTTGTTCTCAAGATGACTGGAAGGCTAGAATAAAAGGATGTTGTGAAGATGCCCTAAAACAAAGAAAGAAAATCGTAGATCTGATACGGTCATTGGACCCTTCACTGGCAGTGTTTCAGTTCACTGTTTTTAGTAACATCTCTTCGGAGGACATTCATGAGGAGTATTTTTCAGATGAAACATTGCTCTTCAGTGATGACTTAGATCAGTTGGTGTCTATCATTGATTGGTGTGAAACATTCTCAGCAATCACTTCAAGACTTAAAAATGCGGATAGAAACAAAATAGCATGTTGTCTACTCGGATTATGGTGTATAAATCAAGAAAACAAATGGGATGTCACCAAATGCAGTCTGGCTAATTCGATACTGGATATTGATGGGAAACTAAGAAAGGCACTTGTAACCAGACAATCGCTAGAAGAGGCGTCGGCAGACAGACCTACAGGTAAAAATAAGGGAAAACAAATTTCTAAAAAGAGAGAGTATCCTGAAAATGCAGTAATGGTCGATGCTCCAAGTTTATTTAAGGAGTATTTAGATATAAGATGTTTAACCACAGATCAGCTACGTGTATTCAACAGTGAAGAGCGATTCCTGTGGGTAGAGGGTCCGGCAGGATCAGGCAAGACTATTGCAATGTTAGGTAAAATAATACATCTTGCCCTTACTACACCCCCAGAGAAAAAGATTTTGATGATCTTACCCGGCGACAGTTCCTGTCCAGCAGCAAAACGATACCTAGTTTTGCTGAACAGCATTAGACAGGACATAGATGAGGAGATAACATTTGAATCCAGTCGCGTACATCTTAACGAGGATGCCTCCGGATCTTCATCTCAACAACTTTCTGTTTTTTCCAACAAAATTTCATTATTAATTGTTAATAAAACTTCGGCAAACCCGGGCAGTGTAATTGCAAGATTTGATTACGTTTTCGTAGATGACTTACAGCTTCTTGATGATGAAAGCTACAGATATGGAAAATATGACTGTGAACTTACTCGTAAGAATATTATTTTAGAGGATTTACTTCCAATCGTAATGTACTGTACCACATTCAACACTAGCATCTGGATATCATTTGACGCAGCACAATCAAACCATTATACCTATAATTCTTCATATTATCTCGAAGCAGAATCAGACGGTGGCAGCGAAATTTCAGAATTCTATAGTCCTATTAGAGAAAATTCAGAATTCTATATTCATATTGCTGAACAAGTGAAAGCCTACTTCGCGAATTCAAAACAGTTAATGTTATCAGTCAATCTAAGGAATACGTTTGAAATTTCTTCAGTGCTATCGATAATCAGAAAGCATTGCAATGAAATTATTGCTTATAATAACATGGTTTCTGGAAGGACGAATTTCTGGACGTTGGAATGGCCACAACAACAGAGAGGGCATTTCCTTCGTGGTACCATACCAGTCATTTACATCATAAGAGATAAAGATACGCCATCATGGAAACATATTCTCATCAAAGAATTAAAGAAATTGAAAGGATCTGAAAGCAACTTTGGAAACAGCGATATTGCCATCCTATTAGATTCAGATGAGGCTCAAGATGACAATTTAATACACACACCAAGTGTTGCTGAAATTAAGAGAATACTGAGAAGATGGTCGTTCGCCAGCTGTTATATTCATCCACAGATATGGGAAATTTGAACGTGGTCGAGCCTTAGAAATTAGTGAGAAGGCCAAGTGGTTTCGAATAAGGTCATCCATACTGGGGAATATTCCTTTACTTTACGTCGCTATGTCCAGAGCGAGGGTTTACTCAGTAGTGATTATAAATGAATATGATTCAACAATTGAATGGGATGTTGAACAACTTATCCAGGAACTTAAAAATCGTCCTGACGTGTGTAGGATAGTCGAAATTGGAACAGAAGTTGGTACAGACTAGGAAATGGTTGTGAGTGGTTCAAATAAATTGCCGTTGGCCAAAAATGTAACCTTGGCACAAACTTCAAGCGTTTTAAATGGTGCCAAATAAATGTTGGTTTTATACAATTTATTTTGACACTTGCTGTTCATGATTTAGTTTTAATATTTTGAATTGTTGTCTGGTGAAACAACTTCCTACACTTGAAAACATTGTTTCATTAAACTTTATATTGAGAACGGCAGCAAACAACGTGGGATATATAGACTATGTCTATAGAGTAGAAGAAAGCATTTTGGGAGTGCTAAGAAATTCTAAAGATGACTGAAAGAAAAATGATTACGGGCATATTATATACTAGTGTAACCCGGCCTTCGGCCGGGATTTCACTGCCGCAGTTAAAAAGGGTAGGAGTAATTACCCGCTGAGTCAAAACCCGCATTAGGTGACCCAATAGTTTCTTAAACAATAATCTCATAATCAGTTATTTCTTATGAGGCACCACATTCCATGATCATAAGGTCTGAACACCGAGTATTACACCTCATCACTCCCGTCTTGAACCACTTTCTATTTTTATTTAAATCGTTATAGAAATTAACCCTTGTTAACTCCGCACCACACCCGCATATTATATTTGAAAACACGCATAACACTGTCGTATGAACTCTCTCTCTCTCTGCAGTCCAAACAGACCCCAAAAACTAACAGTCCCCCTCCCCTAATAAGCTTATGCCTATGGTATTACATTACAGCGAATCTTCCCGGGCTAACGCAATTATGACGCTACTTAAATGCAGCTACATATTATAGAGAGCAAGCCCCGTAACTCTTGCCGTTCTGCTCGAGCCATTTTATGCAACATTTGTGGTACAAAACCGTCAATTAAACCACTTACCACCGGCCGATTTTTAACAAATTTGCTTATGGGCTTCATCAGAGTTTTGTCCGCACTATACCGAAAAAACCAGTCCCGTAACTCTTACCGTTTTTTTTGTATAACCGTTCGGAAATTACACACAGACATCAGACACACACACACACACATTCTGGTGTTATTAAGGTGATTGTACAGTGCTCCATTATTGTCGGCCGGGTGGTGTAGTGGTAACTGGTAACACGATCGCCTCAAAAGCAGAAGGCCCGGGTTCAAATCCGGTCGGATGCAAGTCGGCCAGTTACCAAGCTGTGATTTGGTACAGCTTCGGCTGGTGATACAAACTCTCTGGTTCGTAGGACTAACCCCCCTACAGCTAGTATAGTGCCTCGGCACAGAGTGGCTTACGGTTACCGAAAAGGAGATAAGCACCGCAGGCCATCCCAACTTGTGGGAGAGACCTGCCCTTGTATCTTGTATTGTATAGAGCTCCAGGACCATTGACAGAAGAGCACAGCCTGAAAACGTATCCTTGTGTTCGCGTTACCCTACCATCCCAGATCCCAATAACATGCCAAATTCCAGCAAAACTAGCGCTACAACTCACCACAAACAAGAGGTTGAGGGATGGCAGTGATCTTGATACCCCTCAGTTCTGAAGGAGCAGAGCAGGTGAGGGTGTGATCAACTTGTTTAGTTAGAAGGTACTGTCTCAACCACTCCAGGTAGCAGTCACATTGCCACGGGTTACCTGATACTTCACTGAAATAGGAGCTTTATTTAGAAAAACAATCACGTGATGGACTAACAGTAGATTTTAGATAAAGATTTCAATATTTCAAATAAAGCTATGTTGGTATAATTTGTCTGTATGGAGATAATCCTGAGCATGTTTCAGGGAATTTTATCATTAGTATACTGTTATAGTACTCACAGTTTATGTAGAGATATTCCAGAAAAGGTCCCTTGGTGGAGATAAGATATCTTGTTGTTGGATATGTCCCTGAGGAATAAGGATGTTACAATTTCACTATATCGTACTAACTACGTTATAATATCATTCAAATTATCAAATTTAAAATTTCAGTCTTCCATGTTCTGAAAAGTCACCTAAAAATGGTTCTATAACTGAGATAACTCACAGTGTTCTCAGGTTCCGGTTACTGAGGAGGGATTGAGGGGAGATGTACTTCAGCTTGTTGTTCGATATCGACCTGGAAAAACACACGGGTCAGTTTTTCTTAAATTGGAAAACAACAAATCTCAATATCTTTCAGTTCAAAGAATTTATATGCTGGCAAATTCTCTGACTGAGTTGGGGTTCTTGTAACATCTCAAAATGTAAATGAGGCTAATAATATTATACCCTGAACTTTTTCTCTAGATTATTTCAACTCGAATATTATGTAAAATCTTCTAAAGTAACCCATGACAAATGTTAAATTGTATTCATAACAAGAAGTCATTATGCTTCATAGGATGGTTCACACCACCAAGCCTTACGTGATAGGGCTATACTCCAATCTTGATTTGCTTGCACCTAGCTGCCTCGTAACTACTCAGTTTTCACTTAGGACTTCTGAGATGATCAAGTGCAGCATGTATCCATAAAAACACTCCCAATTTCTGCTGTACAAATATTTCTGACCTCAATGATTTACCAACCTGATTTAAGAGCATTATATTCAATATTATGAACTTGTTTAATGACAGTGGTCAGTGACGTCATGTTTGCAGCTTTAATGCTCTAGTGACAGAGATGGAGTGATGTAACTAATATTCCATGGATCATAAGAGAGCCGATCATGAACCACTGGATCATTACCGTTAACTTATCTACTGTTAACTTTGTTCAGGTTCCAGTTTTGTGTACTTGATAAAGGGTTTAGTTAAGGTAACCATCGAGCATCCTTCTGTAAAGATCTCTGACTTCTATGTCTAAGTTTTTGAACGATATTGCTTGGTTAAAAAGACGGGTAAAAAGTTACAGTTATCAGAAGCACGTAAATCCAGCTGACCTATCATCCGGAGGTATGTTTGATTACGTTTTTTCTTCTATTCTTTACTTTTTTAAACTTCATTTCGTAACGGAGAATACAGATAATTCAATTCCAAGCGCTACTTGAAATTAATCCACAGAAGGATTCTGTCAAGATATTGATGAAGATAGTATGGGAAGTGAAGAACATAGTGAAGATCCTTACAGAAAAAGTGACAAGTGGAAACACAAAGGGAGTTAACCTGGAGAGCCCCAGTTTTTCACGTTAGTCCAAGGAAATGTTAACCTTTCATATGCTCATCTATAATCCAAGAAATTCCTACCTCTCTAGCAGTGATCCCCGGAAAGAGTTGTTTTAAAAAGATTTCACCTAACTTCTCTCTCCAGTATTGATAGGAGGAAGGAAAGTGAGCTGGCACTTCAGACTGGCCTGTTTCGATCTGCAAGATGGGAACGTAGGAATGTACCTCATCATGGACCACGAGCCAGACCGCTCCATCGACTTTGAGGTAACGCCAAGAAAACCTCCCTTTTTAACCTATAACCCGGTGCCACTTACTATGTTATAACATCGGAGACTCAAATTTTGGAGTAGTTCGCTGTTTTTAGTCTCATATTGAAATACTGATAGTTGAATAATATCCGGTTGAGAGAGACAAGGACAAATGAAACAGGAAGTTAGAAATGTAGGCAAATTTTCGGCGTCAACGCCATCTTCAGCCTCAAATAATTTGTTATGTAGCTGTGTTGAAAGTATTAAATTTTTTATTATTATTATTAAAGTAATTTAATACTTTCAACACTACTATATAACAAATAATTTGAGCCTGAAGGTTGACGCCGAAAATTTGCCTACATTCCTAACTTGTTTCATTTGTCCTTGTCTCTCTCAAGCGGATATTATCCAACTATCAGTAAAACATTCTGAAATATCATTTACAATAAATAAACACGGGTGCAGTGCTCTTATCCCTTCCTCTCAGATGAAGTGCAGGTTTGCTTGTATAGATGAGTTTAGAGACGAGGTACACAGAAGGGAGGGGTTCATGCAGTTCGAACCTGACAAGCTCTGTTTAGGGTTTCGGAACTTCGTCCATCACAGGTAGGTAACTTATTACTCGTCCATCACAGGTAGGTAACTTATTACTTGGACTACTAATCTTCAGACTCCTTGTTGTAATAAACAGTGTAACAACGATCTATCTGATGACTTGTGAGCCTCATCTTACGCAACCCCAATTATATTTAACTTTTTCAGCCACATTCTGATACCGAAAAGTAATATAATAATGAGAGGAACACTGTACGTGACATGTACACTTTACTCAACTAGCGGACCTGACGAATATTACTCATCTGAGTGGATTGTCAGTTTACACCTCGTTACTTTGTACTACTTTATATTACTTTATATGAAATATTTCCGTTACTTTTATTATCCGGAAACTAGGTTCCTGGTTTTATATGATATGCAGAGATAAAACATCAAAAAAGCTAAAACTATTAATTATACCTTACACTTCATGCCGTACATGCCGCGATTTCCTTTTGTCCCTGCATGGAACTAAATACTTTCACATGACTGGACAATATAAATCCAACAAACACTGTACCAGGATACAGTACTGGGAGAGGACACGAGCATCAGTAACTCAATAGTCTGTCACGAGAGTCTATGGCTCATCCCTCCGTGCATGTCTCACAGAAGCGACATTGATCAGCTCCACAACGCTACTACTGAGATGTTACACACTATGTATACACTAGGACTGTTTGCTGATGTCAAGGTGAGATGTAGGTGGGGTTTTGCCGGGGACGGTGTCTGTAGTCTTGCTGATTTGTCATATGGAATGGGTGATTCCACAGAAATATATTGTCTGTAGAGCGTAGACAATCTAATTTTTCTTCGAATTAAGGCAAGCTGAGTGTTCGAACTCTAAATGTCTACATCGTGCAGTGGCGACACCATATTTTCACACCGTCTAATACAGGTGACATGTGGAGACAAAATCTTTAACCTTCACAAATCAGTTCTGAGTGCATGGAGCGAGGTTTTTCTAGCCATGTTCTCGTCGCCCATGATAGAGAGGGAGGGAGACCTCAACATCACCGACTGTTCTGAGGTCACTTTCGAGAATCTTGTGAGGTAAGAAGTGCTGATATAATAAGTCTACACTTTTAGTTTTGAGATGAGTAAAGTGCTGAGTGTGGATCATTCAGCTCCAGAAAAAACAGTTTCGATTTGTAAAAAATAAACAGGTACAATTATTTCCCATCCGTTATTATACTCAGGTATCTTTACTCAGAGCAGATCCCTGACACTGAGGGTGAAGTTACTGATCTACTGATAATTGCAGATAAGTACCTTATCTCTAGACTGAAAAGGAGATGTGAAGAGGTGAGGAAATGAGCTTATTAGTCGTAAATTAGTTGTTGTTAACTTGTGAAATGGTAACTGATAAGTGATAACTGCTTCTTTTTAGGAATTGTTGTTCTCTGATGCAGTACGGTAATGGAATCAACTTTCCTGTCATGAACGCAGGTTCTTATTTTTCAGGTTATGATAGAATATATGCAAGTGCACAATATAGCGGAGTTAGCCGAGCTAGCCACCAAACATGGTTGCCAACTTCTCAAGAACAAGCTTGTTAACTTCATTAAAGATAACAGGGAAGAACTGTCTTACGATGAGGATTTAAAAGATATTCTTATCGGAGATCCTGATATGCTGTGGAGACTCAGTATTTTAGAGAGAAAAGGAAAATCTTTATAGAACATTGGACTTGTGAAGCTCTGATTCTGAACTTCATTTTTATTGAAAATGAGATTCTTTAAACTTTAGCTAATGCGATAAAAAGCGAATTTTTATAGAAAAAAAAAAATGATGGGAGTTTGATTTACCTTGAAAACTATCGGAAAAACTTACAGCGATTATGGGTAAAATATACAGAATAAATATTTGAATAAATTATAAAAAATCTAAACGAATGAACTTAAATATTTTACTTACAAATATTGGATTCCTTCCATTTTGGCGATGTCGCTTGGCAGCTCGGTCAATGAATTGTTGTTTAAAACCCTGTAAAGAATTAGGAATTATGATCGATAGCATTGTTTATTCTAAGAATAGCTGTGATCGGGCAAAGAAAAGCATTTTTTGGAATATTTACCTTATAACCATTTCCGATCACATACGATGAGGCTTGTCTTAAGATTCGCCAACTCAGAAACAGAACAAGAATGGTACGAACCAGATTATTTATAGTATCTATGCCAATAATTTGATTTTCATCGTGCTCACGATCGAGTGACAAATTGTGCAAGACTTATAGTCTTTTCTCAGTTTCCTTAGAATATTGTATAATATCATTGTAGGTCTTAAAATCGATTACGTACTGATTTTAAATACGCGCCGCGCGGCTGAGAAAAATTTAAAATTTACTGAGTGTTGGTCATAGAATTTAGCCGTGCTGCATACATATGATAAAAGCGCGCGTTCCATCTAGCAATGGGACGGACAGTTTACCGCAAAAGTTTGCCACAAATTTCGAACACCTATGATATGACGGACGAAGAAACTTATACCTTCACTTATAATTGCTTACTAATAAGTTGGTATCATTTTTAAACCAGATCAATAAACTATTCAAGAACGACCAACTTTCGGAGATCTTCTTGCTTTTGCCAAACTGCCAAATTATACAACACAAATAAAAATACTAGAAGATGTTTGCAAGATGCATAATTTTTGAGGCTTATACTTCAATAACTTGGTCGAAACTTGAGGTTACTCCATTGTTGAACACGAAGCCGCCAGCCAATTTTTGAATGCTACAGTCACAATTTGAATGATAAAGCTATCAGGGGGCAGTATTAGCATTGCAGTGCATCTTAGTTCTCGTAAACTTTATAGCACTAGGAGTTAAACTCCGCCTCTTGACACTTTTTAAGTGTCAAGTGACACGTTTTAAGTGAATTAAGATTTATGTCATGGTTTTCTCATACAAGAGATAATATATGCAATCCGAATTCCGAAGACGCTGAAATTTCTTTATAACACCATTACCTAGCCGTACTCCAGACACGGAGTGAAATTCTGAAGTGGGATTACTAAAACATGCATGACGACTGCCAATCTTCTCCCGCTACAATCACTGTCAACCCAAGGTTATATTTCTATGATCCGCATCTTGGATAATAATTATCCAGTTTTACATGTTGCACTCCTTCTCTTCAAGTGCTGCTTGCCGTGTAATAAACGCACAACTCTCTACAACGTGAAAGTGATAATTGTTTGTCATCGGTATTTCTTTATCTGAAATTCCAAAACCAGAATACAAGAGATTTGTACTAGTCTGTTCTAATATGCAGGGATCGTGCTTACTGATTATTATTATAATACCCTGTGGGTTGTTCGTGTTATGCAGGATATACTGATAAGTGACTTATGATCTGGGTATAAATACATCACAGGTGCACAAATTGGTACTCAGAGCCCAAACTATGTTAATGATAGCCCCCAACAATAATAATTTAAGTAGATCATATCAATAATATGATCAGTTATAACTCTCTACAGTCTACATCCCCTGTATGCGACCCCGCTAATCTGGGGCTCACCTCTTTAAATATAGCCGCAGGTTGGCGGGTAAAGTTCAGAAATGAAGAGAAAATGGAGAATATATACAATATATATAGAAAATATTCAATATTTTCAACGGACAAGGTAAAGAATGTGGGTCAGCTCTATGACAAATGACTTATTATATAGGTGAGTTGCTAGACTAAGGTAATTGCTAGCAACACAATTTGAGTTTAATTTCAACTCATCTGGAGTTACATTTTACCCTAAAAACTATTCATTCGGATATCTAATCCGTGAATATGGAATGTAAATCCTTGGCTGTAAAAAGAAAAGTCTAGATCATTATTATAAATATCATCATTACATATCTAAATCCTAAAAAGGAAACGTAATGGTTATACGCGCCTCCCCATTACATAATAACTATCGTAAGCAGGTAATACCCTTAATCCACAGTGACGTCCATCCTGGTTACCCACCCTTTCTCCCACCCTCCCCCACCTTACACTCATCCTACTAAAACATCAGAACCACCTGCACCAGATGTTGAAGCAAGCAGGCTGATACCAGTCCACAAACACGTGGGCACATTCTGCCCACGTGCTAACCACGTGACTACACTCTAGTACACGGTGGTTATATGCATGACATGCTGAACGTCTATACGACTAGTACGTAGTAATCCTCAGACATTACGGTGCTTTCAGTGAGTTTCAAGATAATACTGGCAATTGTGGTGATGTTAGTGTACTGGAGTGAGAGAGAGCATGCTTAGTAAGCTCTTAGTTTTGTATAAGCAGACGCAGGAGGAGGAGGAAAAATATGTTAAATATGTAATATTTCAAATGAGAGCTAACTGTGGTGGTCTCCTTCAGAAATTTCGGTTCTATTGGAAGATGACGAGTGATACAATTACTTTTCTATAAGTTAACGCCCTTGAAGCGCTATTTTATTCTTTGATTCGCATTTAAACGGTGGATGTAATTTGCTTCTTACTTTCTTTTGTTACGTAACATTTTCAGTCTATGTAAATTATAAATTTATTCTTTTTAAAAATCATAATTATACTCGCATGGGAAACTCGTCGCCGCAAAAAGTACCGCACATTGAAAAACAGTGATATATGAAGGCCATTCTCTCCTGCTGGAGACTGCTGCTGCGGTTACTTGGTGGTAAAATCACCTCCACACCAAAAAAATGTAAAACAAAACCAACATTCCTTACTGGACACATATTCTGTGCTTTGATCGAAAAAAGTGAGAATAATACTTACATATTTCAACACTACTACTAATACAATATAACAAATAAGTATACTGAAATGAAATAATTTGAAGTCAAATATGTAGGCTTTACGGCACGTACGGCCCATTTGCTCATATGTGAGTTGAGAAACTCAAGTGATGAAATAATAAACTTTCAACATAGTACATACGGCCATAGATTGAGATTTGTAAGAAATATCAAACTTTTAACTTACAGCCAAAGATTGTGATTGGTAAGGGGTAAGAATGTTCCATCAGAGAAGCCAGTCAGCTCGTTGTCCACCAGGTTTCTAAAAACAGTGAACAGTAAAGACGCTAAAATCTAATTAATTTCCATGATTTAACGGTTAATGTTGTTAGATGTTGTTAGAGTAGAGTAACTTAATTGACTACAATAACAAAAATCATGCTTCCAAGTTCTAATAATAATAAAATCAGTCTCAGAGACAGGGTAATATTCAGAGTCAAGGTAATATCCACATACTTTAGCCGCAATATAACTAGTGAAGTAAACAAGAACACGTGTCCTGATGCCGAAATCCCCCTAAGGGGGGTTGCAGTGCTCCAGCAAGTCGATACATAAATCAGTATAGAGACGGGAAACTTACAGATAATTGATGTTGTTAGCTTTGTAGAACGCTTGGTCGGATATATAGCCAATTTTATTACTTCTTAGATCCCTGAGATGGTTATTTATTAAAAGATAAAACTGGGAAAATGCTGGATACGCGATTTAAACACTACTCACAAGTATTACAGTCCATTAAAGACCTTTAAAATGAACATTAACACCCTCAGTAACACCCTCAGCCAAGCCTGTTTCCGTGGCGACCATGAAACTGTTCGAAATTAGGCCGGCCGTACTTTTCCCAGAAATGTAAGTGAACAACTGAGCTCGTGCGAACCATGCCATTACACAATCCCTAGTTCTAATTCTACCGGCTAAATTAACAAATCGTCAGTTAATTCTGTTGAAAATATAATTGTACGTACACCCATTCTAAATGCTGAAGTCCGCGGAACAAGCGCGCTGGTAGCCGCTCTATCTCGTTTTCACTGAGTACTCTGAGGAATGGAGTGTAAGTAATAATGACACTCTAACGTATATGTAGCGTGAGTAAAAGTGGTAAAGTTAGTTATGTAAAAGTTAGTCAAGGTATTGTTCAGTAGGGCTGCGATAGACCAGTGGACTAGCCGCCGTGATGCTAAAAATATGAATTATATAGCTGTCGGGGAAGATAATGAGCTATAACGTGATTTTCCCTTTACACTAGACACCAGAACGTTGCTTTACACGAATTCTAACAGAGAAAATCAAATATTTTTTCGGGTCACCGTGCTACTTCCATAAATAAATATTTTAAATTTAAACAGATAATCTAAGTATAACTGGGGCCGGTAACGCATTTCACGGTATAAATCTAGTTAAGCACACCGAGGACCATTATCGGAAGTTAAAATGTCATCGTACTAAGGGTACTAGCACGAATAACACTAATTGTTTTAGCGTCAAACTATTGAATATTGATACGTCTAGACACGGAACACGGCAGGTCAGGTAAGGCAGATTGTTCAGTGCTTTCTCTCCATTGTCACGAAATAACCGTACTATACTTCATAGTTTAGGGTACTTTACACCAAGCACTCGGTGGAGGCATTCAAATATTTCAAATTCTAGTTCTCTAGAATTTGTTAGAGGTGTTAATGTGACGCTGTAGAGCCGTTCTGGCGTTATTTCATTGCGAGTGTCCAGTAGTTAGTGTCCAGTAGTTAGTGTCCACTTTGTGAGCCACAAATCAGTACTGGAATGGTTTTTAAAGGAGGCATTGACAAATATAGACAATTATATGGCTGCTTTCAGAACCATTTCAGCATGAACTTGTGACTGTTTCTCACTTCGCCACTTAACCAGTACAATGACAATAGAATTTAAATCAGGCAGGAGACCACTCCAAACCACTTCAAACATCTGCCGAATGTGATCAAAACCGTGAAATCTTATAAAATAATACGCACGCTTGCTTTCGCGGATAGCTTTCATGGACTTGGTGAGGAAATTTGAATTTGTGCGAGGATGGCTTATGATTTGGTGGTGGAATTCCAGGGTTGGGCCCGGACCGTGGACCCTGATGTAATCCGAAATATGACATGAAATTCCGTCTTAAATTTGTTAAATTCTGTCGACCTCCGACAAGTAATTACTATGCAAGGTGTAAAGCCCTAGAAATCCCAGATAAACTGAGAATTTTGAAGGCTCTAAATTGTAAAATTTTAGAGTGTTTTGGAATTACTGCATGTCTAAATTGGGACATGATCAAGGCTTCACCCACTTTTAGCCCATAAAATGGTTCTGCGTATTATCATGCAGACAGCTCAAAACAGTTCTATGGTTCCTCAGACAACAATTACCATTGAACCAAGAATTAGAATTAAACAAACATCCGACCTTATAACCCACCTTGATAATCAAGTTTAAAATCTGTATTTATAATCCTTAATTTCTAAAATTATTATGCGCCCACAATTTCTAATTATGTCACATAAAACCCCGAGTTTGTCACATACTAAAACATAATCCATTACTCACAATATTTTGAGATAAGGTAAACTTTGCAGGACGGTCGCGTCGATTTCAGATATTTCGTTCTGCTGTAATTCTCTGAGGGGAGGAAAGTGTGAGGTTAGTTGTCATAACAACAGGTTAGTTGTCATGGAGACATGGGAGCCAGGTAGGAGCAGAGAATAGAAATAAAAGTTTGTAAGTATAGAGCAAAACATAAATTAGAGCGAGAGTTTTTATCACTATTAGTATTACAGAACAGTGGACTGTTGAGTGATGACAGAACTAATGCGACAGTTTGGTGGACAATTTGGGTCATCGTTATGCTTTTTCTCACATTACATAATATGTAAATGAAAGTCACATGATAATGATGATGTTAGGGTTTTGTCATCGCGGATATTTTGAATAGTGTTTACTAACGATGTCCTAGTTTCCGGCAGCGGAGACACAGACAACCAGCCATCATTAAAACGAGAATAACCACTTAAAGCCGTAGCTAGTTATCGTTTGGGGTTCGATCTAACTGAGATGTGAGTTGACGATCCCCTTGAACCATTCCCAACGGTTACTATTAGCCATCCAATGACGGAGGTATCGAGCCGGTAATTACTTGTAGCTGTTATTTTTAAAATATGGCAGTTGATAGTGTTCATTCGGAGTTGGCCCGATTGTGTGAACTGCGGAGTCCAAATTTGAAGTGAAAAGTACGATAAAACTATGTGAGGGCAACTGTAGTGAACAACATTGTCAGAATAACACTTTAATTGCAGTAGGTAAAGAGCACACACTTGCAGGTTTTCAGTGCGAAACAGGCAACAATGAGGTGTTAAGTGGGGTAGTTTAGTAAAATAGGGAGAGTGGCGAGGAGGGGGTTATTTAGGGAGATTAGCTTGTGGTGGTTATCATGGGACATGTAATGAACTAAAACCTGATTCCGGTTCCAAGCAGCATAAAAATAACGGTCTGTTCAGATAATTCCGCTTAGTCATTTACATTTACACTACCCATTGAATAGCCTATATAGTTTCCCACTTAGTCTAGATTAGTATGTTAGAGAATATAGAGATATCAGATAATGTAACGAAGAAGCGCCGATTCGCGTGTAGAAAATGAGAGATAGTAAATAGAGGCTGTCAGTACTTTGTACACTTGTGCTAGGGGAGGTTAATGACCAAACCCACTATAAATACATTACAGAGTACATAAATACTCTATCCATTATCCAATCAATATTCTCCTTGAGCCTGTTATCTGTTACTCCACACACACACAACACTATATATAACCATCTGCCTCTATCGAAACTCAATAGAATACATAACAGAGACCGATCATGATTTGCTGAAGTCTCATTGGCTCCCTCCAGGACCTCGAAGGGCCATTCAGCCACTCATTAGCTTTCAAAGGCTCGCCAAATAGTTGCTGACCGACTAATTTCCGCCAGTTTTTGCCCACTCCGTCTCTGTAACACATAAGCTGTAAACGGTCTCCCCAACCACCCCGATGTATTAAAGCTTTTTCCGTAAAACACAAATAAACAACCATATTATGATCATTAAACATTGGGTAACACAATTATCTGAAGAATGTTTACGGCAAGTAATTGGCGGGGACCAAGTAGAGACTTCCGTGATCGGACCTCCCGGTACTTAGTATTTAGAAGTGTGTATCACTAAAACTACTCATTTAGATCTGGTATTGATGGTGATTATCCAGTTTAAATGTAGATCAGGCTGAGGTCTTGAGACAGCGGAGGTCTGTTCTTATGCAAATATACACGGGGTTGGTAACTGGTACTCTGGTAACTGGTATCGTCTGGTGAAATGGCACGGAACATGGGCGTTGTACCAAGCACAATGTAATACAAAGTTTATAAATAGGATAGGACCATAGTACTGCAGATCATCAGCCCTGTTTAACCAATTACAAAAACGATCTAATCCTATATTTTTAACTTCTGTAGAGCATTTTTTAGAGACTGAAAGAGCTGATGAAGGGTCACGCAATCTGTAGGATAAAGCAGATAGTCGCGAAAATAATTTCGCTTTTGATAGAAGATTTTAAAATAGGTCATACAATGAGGGTGGTTGATGTTGTGAAGGGTACTAGTGGACGCTTTATGAGGGTGGTTGATGTTGTGAAGGGTACTAGTGGACGCTTTATCCCCCGTAGAAAGGAGGCTTACCCCGACTCTAACAAGTATTTCACAGACACCTCCAGCCTGCGAAGCAAGGCCACTGGCTTTGCGTATAATGAATATCCTTAATGAATATCCCTTCTCCAATTACCTACTCCACATTCTCCACTTACAACTAGAACTTGGAACATTTGGTAGCCAATAAAACTATGAATATCATTTGAGTGACGTTAGTAATTGCTTAATTGTTGTGAAAAGGGTACTATCGAGCGCTTTACTCCACTATAAACAGGCATACTGCAGATTCAGTACTTCACAGATATATTAAGTCGCAAAAATTCAAATACTTTGCATATTATACTTGCCCTATGAATTTATGGAACGTAAAAACTATTATAAAAATTAATGAACGTGTGTAGCCGCCCGGCAGTGTGAAACCGGTCACAAACTGTTATTCATCTAAAGTCCTGACTTCTATTTGTTATTATTGGTCGCATTAATGCCACTGAATTGATAGATAATCTCCATTCACTTACAACTTAGACCCTGGAAAGTTTGTGAGCTAATAAGGCATTATATTAAGCTATAAATAACATTGGATTTAAAATTAATGTGAAGATAATATTATTTTCACTGGAAATTTCTCCGGGTTCTACTTACTTTAGATCTGAAACTTTAACGCCGCATGCAAATAATCCCATTGTTTGGTAGATTTATTATAAAACAGGTGACAAAGTTTGGACACCCGAAGACTTGTGAGATTCTAATAAAATTCAAACTTTCTCACCTAATGTCAGAATGAGACTAGTATCTTGAGGATGTGGGAATTTTCATTCAGCCTACACGCTAGTCCTAATTCTTAGTCCTGACCTATCTTAAGCAACCACCACTCCCAGCATTGACTCGCATTCTTCAATTTCATATTTGAGTGAGAAGTACAATTTTCCAATTTGAGGTACGATTTCGTGAACAATTAATCCAATAATCCATACTTTAATTCCAACGAAATTTGATAATCGCTGTATATCATATATCAGGCGGTCAATACTTTTACAAACCCATCCAAAGGCAGTTACCGTGAAGTTCACAGACCCTAATATTAAACAGTTCCCTAATTCCATTACCTGTGATATGATACAGAGACCAAAGTACTGATAAGACTTCACAATTACTTCTCAGGATATCCTCCAGTGACATTACAAACTGTAAACAAGCTGCTCCACAATCTCTACCCCCACACGGCATAACCACCTTATAACCACCTTCCGGGACAGCATATTATTAACACGGCCAAAATGGACAGTTTTAATCACATTAAAAAGGGTAATTCTGACAATTCTCTCTTTACTTTACAGGAGCCGATAATCGTAGTAAATATATCCATTACTTGGGATTAAGCTTGCAAGTTACTTCCTGGAGACGGAGGTTGTATCTCAACTTCTCCGGTCTCCGGTACTCTGGGCGTGTGTCCATTAAACAGTTAATGGGGGCAATTAATTCAGCTGGATTCGACAATTAATGAACAGTAAGCTGGGAGTTAGTCAGCAGGAAGGCTTCTAGTGGATGTTAGGAGTTCTCCACATATCTGTGGCGAGGTTCAGGTTTCGCCCAACTAACTCTGTATTACTTTGGGAGGAAAAATAATGTTCTTATCTGAATAGAAGCATTCATTGTACTGTGCGAGAGCCGAGAGGAGGGCTGTGGCTTGCTAATTTAATAATTTAATAATAGTTTAATAATTCAAGCTTTTTAAAAAAGCTAATAAAAATTTCACTGAGTTGTAGTATACGGTGGAGATCTTGTTAAACTTTACTACATATTATAAAGTTATAATGGGGGCGTCCACCAATCAGCGGAGATATGATGTAGATATGATGTAGCTCTATATCCAATCACAGCTCCCTAAATTGTCACGTGATAACAGGATGAACGCAGCATGAGAGCCACAAGTACAACTTGTTAAGCAGAGTACTGTACCATAAAACCTGATTCTAATTTTGCTTGCACCAGACAGACAATGTGGATTTAACTAACTCTCCTGAATTAATGCATAGCACTACAGATTCTACACGGTATTAATTATATTTCATTAACAGCTGACTGATCTCAGTTTAAAACAGGTGTAAGCTCAGAGCAAGCTTGATTCTGCTGTAACCGCGACTAAGACCAACTCAGTGCTTGGACAGAAACTGAGAAACCGCAACTCTATTTATACTACGTTTAAACGATTGGGTGTTTAATGAAATGCCAGTTTTACCATTAGTAGGTCACTGGCCCGTGCAGAGTAGCAGACGAATGTTGCATCTTACACGATTTAAACATTTATACCGTATGTAATGTAAAATATGGGCAAGAAATCGTCTGGAAAAAATGACACAAGATTACGATCTTAACTTCATTACATATTTACTTTTGCACTCGTGTAATACAATTTGCGTTCGGAAGCCTTATGTCTTTTTGGAAGCCCGCGAAAAAGAGACCTTATCTTTTAGAATCACAATTGCAGTCCTTTACTCCTCTGACATCCCGCCCAAACCCAGCAGTTACCCGAGTAATTCCTAAACAGAAAAATGATTGTTCCTGCGTACTGCACTAGCCTCAGGGGTGTGGTCTAGATTTGGAGGTGAAAGGTTTACCTGCAGGATAAGCGGATTTACAATTGCATAATTTGTGTCGTGATATAACTCCGAGACATGAGATACGACGAGCATCGCACAGATTGAGACAGCTTCCTTGCGGAACAGCTGAGAGCTATTACGTGCCCATCTGTCTAACAAGAGGTTTAATCAGTCCTGCAGGCGGGCTGCTCAACACAACATTTAGCTGCCACTCCGCTGGAGTATCTTACTCAACCAAATGGAAAGGAGGGGGTCTTTGTATTTTCAATTTCTATCCAACCTTGGAATGCTTACGACACCCCCGTACTCAGCTTGATTAGGACGGATGTAGCAGGTATTTA